ATTTTTTATAAAATAAACTTTCTAGGACAGGTAGCACAAAAACTAATCATAACAGAAAGTTGATCTTCCATGGAGACATTTGTTTAAAATGATTTAAGCAAATTTAAAATTTTTCAATTGATGATTGATTCATGTCCGTTTCCATCAATGTAGATTAACTTTAATCTCGGTTCAACTTACTCTTCGTTTTTTTCTAGTTCTAAAAATTAGAAAAAGACAAAGAGTAAATTGAACCAAACTTAAAGTTAATTTATGTTGAAAATGAGCTTGGAAAATGGAGTTAGTGAAAATCAAGTGGAGTTAATTAAAAGACCTTCAATTGACAAATGAAATACGAATTCAGTTGAACGTACATTATTCAATTGACGATTGATTTAAACAAAATTAATCAAAGATCTCATTAATTAATGATTGATTTAAGAGGGTATTTTTGCTTTTAGCATGAGCTTCAAAAAATCGATTTTTTTCCATTTTTGGATATTCTAAACCTTTAGAATATATTTTGAAATATTTTGGGAATTCTTAAATTGCTTAAAAATTATTTAGAGAATCGATTTTTTTCGAATTATGTATTTTGTTTAGAAATAATATATTCTAAAATGGTTGCCACTATGACTCGTACAATTTTAAGATTAACTTAAAATTTTAAAGAAATATTCGCAACATTTGCCTTTCTCGATTGAATCATCAAATAAAAATTTCAACTTTTTTGATTTTTGCAGGAAGAAAGAATATTCATCTTTATTTTTGAATATTCTGAATTTAAGACGTGACCGTCGATTTAATTTCTGTTATGACTAACATAGTATTTTCATTTCATAAACACGCGATATTTACAGACAAGACGCATAATATATGCATAAAAAAATTTAAACAAGGATATCAAGCTCGGAATCAGGTTCATCTCTTTTTATCGCAGTGAGTTAGCAGTCTGTTATAGAAGTCTGTGGATATATCATGATTTGTTTACAAATCTCGGCAATCTTTCACGTCTTTTGATCTATGGTCTTTATTTTCGTATAATGACGTCAACGTAATCACAGTCAGTAGTCGCAATATAAACTGAGGAGCGCAAGCCAAAGGATCGTTCCTATATACATGTAGTTGCCAAAAATAAGTATTTCTAGTTAGATAATATTTTATAATTAATGACTTATTTTATAATTAATTTTAATATTTAACGAAAAATATCAACATAAAACAATATAACACAAGTGTAAGTACATTTCTCATAATTTTTTTTAATTTATTCTTAATCCGGAAATAGTCATTTGAGAGTATTTTTCACTACAGCGAAAAAATGTGATATGAACGAAAGAACAGCTATTATTTAATAATACTTTTATATACTTTTATATAGTATAAAACTGAAGTTATAATTTCGATATAAATCCAGCTATGTAAACATAATAAATAGAAATGTATTTAATCCGTCATTATAAATTGTGTCATTATCAGTTTACAATTTATAAGACCATAACAATAACTGCAGTTATATACATGCCAGAACTATTGTTAGATATAGAGATAAATTTTTTATAAGTTCAGAATATTCAGAAAATAGGAATGAATATTCTTATTCATTCCAGAAATAGAAATGAATATTTTTTCTTGCTGCAAAAATTAAAAAATTAAAATTTTTATTTCATGATAATTCAGCCGAGAAAGACAAGTGATGGAACATTTCTTTAAAATTTTAATTTCATCGGATTAAAACTGTACGAGTTATCATGATAATACAATTTTAGATATACTATTTGTTCAAAAAATGCATAAATCAGAAAAAAATCGATTCTCTAAATAATTTTTTTTAAGCAATTTGAGTTCTCAAAATATTTCAAAATATATTCTAAAGATTTAGAATATTCAAAAACGGAAAAAATCGATTTTTTGAAATTCATGCTAAAAGCAAACAACTCTCTTAAATCAATCGTTAATTGGATTATCATTAAATTCGCTTATTTTAATTATTAAGTGAACGACTTTCGATTAAATTTGCTTAAAGTAATTGTCAATTTAAGGATAAGATATGTATATAATTGAAAATTAGAGACTTGAGGTCAATGATGGTCTTCTTTTACATCTCTCTTGACGTCAATTTATCAAAAATATAATTATTGTAAAATAAAGTTGTTTGATCTAAAATATCTTTCATACGTTCTATCTTGTTATCTTATTTTATTATTTTAATTAATTATTTTTAGGACTAATTAAAAAACATATAGGTAGTCCTTTTTCTCCAGTTTTTTTTCTCTAAAATGAAACATATTTGAAGATGCATAAAAGTTTTCTGAGTCATCATGATAAGCAACGATCGACAAAAGTATCCAAAAAATCCACGACAAAATGCAAATATAATTTCTATTCTCACTTTTTGGTAAGTATTACAAATAATATCTTATAATATTATCTAGATTAAAAATAAATGTGTACCATATACCTATATTACAATATTATCTAGATTGTTTGTGAGAATTTTAATATATTATAATCGAAAGTTTAACAATTAGCTATTGTAATTGATTAACTCATAAAAAATTTATTCTAAAATATTATATGTATATA